AACAAAGTTCTTACTAGTAATATTTTACTTGTAAATACACTATTATTTTTGTGAATTATCTTCAAATCTTGGAATTACAATTAGTGAATGCTCCTTCACTTTAAATAAGCCGTTGACATTATTACTTTTGATTATTTTAGTTTAGGTAATTTCAATAAGTCCTGTTTAATTATTTTTGTTTATATTTCATAATTGATAATCTCAATAAGTTCTGTTTAATTATTTTTGTTTATATTTCATAATTGATAATCTCAATAAGTTCAATTGTTAGTTTATTTCATTAGGTATCTTCAATAAGTCCTGTTATTCACTTTAAAACTATTTGTCAATTTTTTTAATTCTTTTTATCTTTTTATTTTATTTTTCTATTCATTTCTATTCTTCATTGATAATATTTAGTTAGTTTGCATACAAGCTATCACAGGAGATCTTTAGAATCTTTAGTGAATCACATTAATTGTAATTCATTCAGTCTTTGTTCTTTCACTGTTAGGTTACTTTGTTAATTCATTAATTTCAACAATTTTTGAATTAACAAGAACAATATCCATATTGACAAATAATTTCTTCAAATATGAATTTAGCGACTTTGGTAGCTTCTTTTGTTGATATTTCTTTTGCTTCAGGCCATTTTGTAAGATAATTGATTGCTATGATAATATATCGATTGTTTTGTTGAGTAATTTGATTTGATCTAATCAAATCAATTACGATGTGATCAAAAAATTGTTCAACTTTTATTGGGTGTAAGAGTTCTTTGAATTTTCAGGATCCAGTAAATTGACAAGTGGAGCAAGATTTGACAAAATCTTTTATATTAGTTTCCATTCCATTTCACCAATATTTAATGACAATTTGTTGATAATGTTACCATTTTCATCAAAAATTTCATAATTACTTAATTATTGATCAACAAAAATTAAGATGTATTACAAAGAACATTAAATGTTACATCATGTAACTCAATGATGATCAAATTAATTTGTCCCTTTATTTTTACATTGTATCCCATTATATGATTATATTTAGTGTATATCATTACTTTTTTTGATCATCTATCCATTAACTTGTAAGCTTCGTCAACCTTCTTTCTATTTGCTTCGCTTAGTCTAAGTGGTCCCGTCTAAATGGCAAGAACATAGATTCTTATCAGTATTCAGTATACACAAAGCCAAGAGTCTAATAAGATTTACTTTGTTTTTCTTCGTCACTTCTACTTTATCATTTGTCGCTTCCTTAACTTCTTGATTATCAATCGCTTCCTTTACGTGATAGACAATAGTAAGCATAATAAGCGTTTATGGCTAACAATACCTATCCCGAATATAATCTACCTGATCAGATACGTCCGAATCATCATAATCAGATGCAGAGACTGGATCCTGTGATTCAACATTATTTTCTGAATGATAATCTGCTCCGCTTCTTGATCGACTTTGTCCTTGTTCGTCCTTCTTGAGTCTTTTCGATGATTGTTGGCATTCGTCCACGATTTCATCACCAACGTTCTCCCCCACAGCTTGGTATATATCAATTGTTTTTGATCGAATAGTTCCTTTTACACGATTCTATAAAGACAATTTGATAGTTTCGCTTATGTGTAGTTATAAATTAACATGTGCACAAATAAAGGTTTTTCACCTGCCTTCTTACGTTCATCTATCACTTCTTCCCAATACGAACGAGTACCGTAAAGCGCTCTGTATAGTATCCCCCTTTGTATAAAATTTAAACCTCAATTTAACCTCAAGACTGTTAAACCAATAACTAAATTTCTTAAAAAATCGCATAGTGAAATCTAATTTAATTATTTACATAAAAAATAATTGAATTTACTAAAAAAAAATTGAACCAAATTGTGGTTCAAATTTTTACAAGGGGGGATATTATAAAGAGCGCTTTACGGTATCCTTTGAAAATAATGTATATGAATATGCGATATGATAATAAGGAGCTCTATAACAAAATCAAAACCAGATCGCAAATAGTGAGGGCTAGGAAAATATACCTATACTCTGGATTCAGGTAAAACCTGTCAAGAGGTGCTCTTCACTATTACTTGGGCTAGGAAAATATACCTATACTCTGGATTCAGGTAAAACCTGTCAAGAGGTGCCCTATGGTCGGCTAAATTGAAACATATTTACCTCTTCTACGACTTGCACCATTGGTGGTAAATTCAATCTTTTTGATGTTTGCAAATATCGGCTGTACCACGCTCCATTGAGTCCTTTCCAATTTTCTGACAATGGAGGTGTTTTGACAACTAAAGAGCGGTTTGATTCCAAAAACCCTAAGTATGACACGGAACTGGGTGCAGTTCTGGTTAAGTAAGATTCGAGGGCTATTGAAAGTAAAATATGACCGATTAGTGTCTAATACAAAAGAAGCTCTTTTCACACATTTTGAATTAATGCTTGCCTGTTCGACCGGGATATGGTTTTGTTGACATTATAACTATCGATCGAAAAAAAAAAAACTCTCATAATTTTGGTGTCGATCAATCATATTTATTGATCAATTTTAAAGTTACATGATTTTGATGCAAACGCCTGAATTTTATTGATGCTATCAAAGAGGGTGGGAGTACGCGGATCCTAGGCCATTTAATGCGAGTCCCAGCATCACATTATTTCTTTGCTCTCTCACATTTATTATGAATTTCTATAGCTATTTTGTTTCTATCGCTACTAACTACAAGACTCTAATCCCCACACTCTTTTACTATACTAGATTTCTGAAATAAATTATCCCACCCATATTTATAGAATTTTTGTCTATCTATATCTCAAACACGCAGATTATGTAAAATAATATTCCCCGCAATGAAACTTCTTCGAGATTAAGTAATTTCGAATCTACGGCATAAATTCGGGAGATTAGCAACTGAGGTAAAAAAAAATATTTCCGATTCACACTTACCATTACTATTAATTTATTTTGGAACATCTACCGATTAATAACGTTACCTTTCGATAGCTAATCCACCCACGTGATTCGAAAAAGGAAATGAACTATGATAATTCTCCTAGGCGATTACCGGAGACTCATCATTGGTGAGCTTTTTCTTTCGTATCTTCCGTCACGATAATAATAACCTCTATCGCGTCCACCGCATTCATCATATCCATTATATCCATCATCCGAATCATCTGGCATCTCTTCTTCAGAATCATTATCATGACTACTGTCGCTATTATCTTCTGTCTCATTTTCGTTTGTTCCTTTATCTAGCCGAGGTATGGGATTTGAAAGATTACGATCAAATTCATCATCAAAATACACATAATCATAGACATTTACCTTAGCCGGAGTTACTACATTTGATGATGCCTTGTTCTCTCTTTCTTTCTCTATCCTAGCCTCTTCCTCCTCGAAAGTTTCCATGATCATTTTATCAAAATCGTCCTCAACCCGCGTTGCTGAAACCAAGAGGTTTGCTTGCTCGTCCAATATATTATCCTGATCATTCGAAATCTCCTCTTCGGAATCAGTAATAGGGTCATCCCGATCATCTGAAAATTCAGTGTTGGGATTTTCGGAGAAATAATCAATAATAGTTTGAATTTGACTATCAGATAATTCCAATATAGAATTCGCACTATATGTTGTGATATACTTAATTTTATCAATTCCTATTTTCTCAAATAATTTGTATATGCTTCTTGCTCTTTGAGTTTGTTTTAGTATTGTGTTGCGTTTAGTACCAGGAGGAAGGAGTTTAGTAAGATTGTCATAAATCATGCCTTTTGCTTTTTTCTCGCCAACTTTATACTCATTTGATGATTGCAACTCCTTGTTCATGTGGATGATTATTGGAGGAGCTGTAGAATGCATTGAGTTCTTTGTTTTTCAAGTTGAATTTGGGATTGTTGTGTTTGTTAAGTTTTGTTTCTGTAAGTACTGTGAAGTCTAAGTTGTTTACATAGATTCAGTCGTTAAGTTATTGAATTTTGCTTGGTTCATTAGCTCCTCTAACATTTAGTATTCAAATACGCAGTGAGTTTTGTTGGTCGAGTTGTTATTTGATATTATATTTTGATAGTTTTTGTCTAATATGTAAGCGTTAGTTTGCTGAAGATGCAAACTACTTTTATTACCAGTTGATTGTGTTATCATTATTGTTGGATAATGTGGATTCTGTTTCCATTGTTTGTGATGTTGACAATTGGATAGTTTTAGCAAGATTATTGATTGATTCTTTAAGATGAGCAAATTGCTCTAATGTTGAGTTAATATAGTTATTGAGAATGTTGAATTCCTATATGTATTCATTATTATTATCAGTTTGTTGTTGTTGTTGTTGTTGATGTTGAGTTTGTTTTTCTAATAATGGAGTTTCAATTTGAATATTTGTTTTTTCTGCTAGGTGTTTGATCATTTTCATTGTGTTGTTCAAATTATCTTTTATTCTATTCATTTTTTCAATTAGTTCATTCCATTCATCTTGTTGATAATTTGATTTTTCAGTTATTTGTTTTACAATGTTTGGTTTCTGGTTTGGTTCAGTTTTGATAACATTTGTGAATGAGCAGTTTGCAGAGACGAACTTGTTGCTAATTTGAAATTTGACTTTTTAAGGATGAGGAAAGCTTTTAAAAGAGATGGGTTATGTTGCATTCCATCTAACTTGTTTATTTGGTATTTTGTTCTTTTCTTGACAGTTTGCAATAAAATGATCTGCTTGGTGATAGTATATACAGGTTTTGTAACCTGTAGTTATCCAGATAAGATTGTGATTGCACAATGTGTATTTTGTGATCATTGCTATTTCTTTATCATCATTAGAATCGAAGGAGATAAATGCAATATCCATTCGGTTATATTTGTTTCTGGTGCGTGGAATAAAGCATATCTTTGCATTAGTCTCATTGAGAAGTTGACCAAGTTCATATGCTGTGCATTCTGATGATAGATTTGTTAACTTGGCATCAAATTGATTATAATTTTCTTTAATTTCTAAGAAGTTGTTTTTTGAATATATTCTACAACTGTCTTTTTTGATTGAAATTGACCAGATATTTTGAAGATCAAGTTGTTCCTCGTCTTCTTCGAAGTTAATATGTGCTGTTTGCCATCCAGCTTTTTCACGTACTGATACTGATTTAACTTTTTCAATAATAGATGAAGCATTATTAATGTCAGCAATAGTGATACCAAGAGAGACATCATGAATGATAATGCCAGTAGAATTATTTTTGTATTCTGTTGGTTGTGTTAAGTTATATGAATGTGCTTGGATTTTGAATGCATCTTCTAAATAATGGATTGCTTTGTTGCGGTTTAATTCACTGTTAAATTCAACTTTATATTGATTATAATATTTGAAATTAGGTTGTTGAATTCCAATATATCCTGTTTGATTGCAAAGATTTTGGTAGATCCATACTTTTTTTTCTTGAAGTTTTTTGGGTAGAATTTGTTCACTTGTAATTGTAAGTGAGAATTTTTTTGCACTGCTGATTGTGTTCCATTCTTGTTTGTCATTTACATTGTTGTTATCTACAATAAGATTAACACTAGTTTCTGACATTACTTTGCTTTGATCATTAAACACATCTTCTGCTCAGACATGTTTGTTTTGTTGTTCTTGTTTGTGTTGCTTTTGTTGTTGCTGAATATGCTGTTGTTGTTGTTCTTGGACGTGTTGTTTTTGTTGTTGTAGGATGTGCTGCTGTTGTTGATTTGGTATTGTTGTTGGATGTGTTGTTGTTATTGTTGGGAATGTTATATATATTTGTTATTGTTATTAACTTTGGTTGTTTGTTTTTTTTCTTTAACCATATTGTCAAAAGATGAGAAGATTGAAGTAAAGAGAGATAGTTGTGTGGAGTTTTCTAGTTAATTATTTGCAGTTGTTTTCTGGTTTTTATTGTTGTTTTCTATATCACTATTATGAGTTATAGTAAGTTTTCTTCTTAGTGAGAGATTTTTTGATGGAGTTGGTGATGTGCGAAAAAGTTTTATTTTTTGTTGAAAAATTTTTTCTGTTGAGTTTTCAGGTATTTTTGAACAATTTTCTTCTGTATTTCCACTGTAAGGAGAGGTATTCTTCTTGTTATTATTGTTATGAATTGTAAAAGCCATGATTTTATTATTATCTTGTTCTGTTATTTTTTGTTGAATTTTTTTATTTAATGTTTTTAATGTTTTTTGGTCTATTTTGACTGAGAGAGGGCTTTTTTGGCCAGATTTTTTTGGGTCAATATGTTCCTTGGACAGTTTGAAAAATTTTAATATGTTTTTATTTAAAGAAAAATGATTTAAAAGAGCTGAAAAAAATTATTTTCTCTTTTTTGTGACGCAATAATTATTTAAAAATTAATGTACAGGAAAGAGTTTTTTTATGGTCTCCATTATAAGAATTTTTCAAAAGTTTTCTGTCTAGTGTTTTTAGTCGATATGCTCCTTTATCAAGTTTTTCATGGATATAGAATGATCCTTTCCATTTTTGCGAAAATTTTTCATGATACTAGTGTTATATTTTCATTCTCTTCATTAAGATTTTATCTCTGATAAAAAATATTTGTGCATTTTTATCTTGTTGATATGATTCTTTTTGCT